GTGGGGCCCCCTGCCTCGAACCGCCCATAAAAAGCCACTTTATTCAAAAAGTAGTATGCGGATCCCGATGCCTCTACCTAAACCTACTATAAATAGCAGACCTATGGCAATTGTAAAGGGATCTCTGTTCGCTCAAAATTTCCGAACTGTAAACACTTTACTAAGCAACACGTAAAAGCCCATCACGGCTCTTCACCTCGGTTCACCTCGGACCGGGGCCATCGTTGATTCAACTTTACATGCTTTACGTTCAAATTATTCCAAATTACTCACTTAATCATAACTTATATCGTTGTTAACAATCACATAACAACAATACGAAAATACATTAATTCATGTTTATATTCTTGTTACGGAAAGTTATTGAATACGAACCTCTAAATTAGTGTGTTTATCGAATCACTTAACCGAACATTCAATGATTTGGAATTATCATTAGAACTGGAAATTATTATTTTCCGATTCCTTAACTCTTTTATAATTTTTAACTCTTTAACATTATTAACTTAATTATAACTTTATTTATAATTTTCTAGCATTAATTAAATTGATAATAGTAATTAATATTTAAAAACAAAATTAAAGCGATTACAATGTTTAGGAATATTTTTATTTATTTTTGTTAATTGAATAAGTATACAGTTTAATCCGACTGAATTTTCTTTGAGATCGACTCGGGAAACAAATCATTTGATTTGGTGCTCGATAACATATAAATTAAATTTGCTACAACACGGAGCAATTTGAAAAGTTTCTTGTTCATACCCATTGCATCGTAGAATCTTAGATCGTTCCTCAGGAGGAGTTCATTAATCCAGTCCTCCTCGTTGTACGTGGAAAGCCTATATCGGATTCGTGTCATAGGCGGATTAGACTGAAACTGTAGCGCCCCGTTCGAATATTAGATTTTCGAATATTATTTATTGGCATTATTATTATTATTTGAATTAATTGCCTATATTGTGTTATCGTGTGTATCGCTTGACATATTTCGTTTAGACTTATAATTCATATTATAAGTCGTTCAATTCTTTTAATCCCGTGAATCGTACTTATAATCCGAAATCCTTCGATTTCTCACATCGTGATATCGAGCTTTGAGATTGATAATCGGCCCAAAATGATTTAAATTCTAGCCTATATAAATAATTACGAGGCCTTTTTGTCATTTATTTCTCAATCTCGGCCCGAATTGATCCATTAGCAATACTCATGCTATGTTATTTTCATTGGCCCATTTTGAGATCAATTATTTTTGGCCCATCCTAGCTTTTAAAATCAGCCCATTGGTTGTTATTATTATTAGGCCCATATTAGTATTGTCTGTGACCCATCTTCGATATTAATTTTAGCCCAATTTTGTGAGATTGTTTCAGCCCAAATGGAGAAATTCCTTAGCCCATGTTAATTAATTTCTTGGCCCATTAAGACTATAAGCCTCAGCCCACTTTGAAAAATCTTTTCTTCTCCTCCGCGATGTATGAGATGTGAGACCGAGTCTTCGAGTTCAAAGTTCTGGTTGCGATTTTTTCATGAGATCTTATCCAACATTCGCACGTCTCCCTCTCTCGTTTTAATATCCGCAGAGCGAGAAGATTTTATTTCACCTTCTTCTACAAACCACAACCTGCTTTCATGTAAAAAAAACAAAAAAAAAAAAAACTTACCTGCAAATTCCTGCGACATCTCTTCTCTCCGGGCAGACTCCAGCCGTCGACGACCATCACTACCTCGAACAACCCTCCATCCCTCGCGCGTGAGCAGCAACCCCTGTCACGAGCCAGCGTTCCCCGACCCCGAGCAAAAGCTCCGTCCACCATTAATTCCGGTGAACACCCCGGCAGCCGTTCGAGAAGCTGACGTCCTCACGAGCCTGAAAACTGACGTCCTTTTGAGTTCTCGAACATCCCTCAGTTCGTCCGAAGGAGTCCAGCAGACCATTCGTGAACAATAACCGTCCGTCGAGTTTTGAGGTTCCCGATCGTCTTGTCCGTTTCTCCTGCCGAACTCGTAGATTCTTGAAAAAAGGTAATCGGTGAACCTCCTTATTATTTAATGCTCGTGTCGATATCATTCGGTTACTGTCGTCCTTGTTAAATCGATATTCGATGATTTGTCGGCTTAGTTATATTCGTTCATCGGTTTATATGTTGTTAATTGTGAATCGACGTGGATATGTTGGAACTCTTGTGTATTGTAAAATCGGGTATCTTGATTATTGTTGTGGATTTATTGTGATTGGGAGTCTCGATATATCCTTCGAGTTGTCGTTATACCGTTTGTTTGGTGTCGAGCCTATTATTTACGTTTAATTTTTTGAACTGAAATCCGATTTTTATAAACATTTCGAATTCTGAGGTTGGCATTAGTTTTGTAAAATTTGTAAATTTTCAAACCCGGTTGCCGTGAATTAGCGTCGTCGAACATTTTCCCGGCACCGGAAGTCCCTGCGTGCGGTCAGTTTCTGTAAATCTGCAGCCTTCCTTATTTTGTTTTTCTTTCTTTCCATGTACCTTAGCCCAGGCGACAAGCCATTTATTGTAGCCAATTGTTTTACTATTCCTGGCCCATTATCTACAGCCCAAGTTTAAGACTTGTAACTAGGCTATTTTGTTTAATTGAATTTTTGAAAGCCCAATTCAGACAGGCCCCAATTCACGTGAAAATTCCTGAAATCTGCTCCTAAAATGTGTGGGCCACCTGGCTCACATTCCGGCCCGCGCAGCCCGATCTATCACACAGCAGTCACGGCCCTCGAGCCCGCGCTCCGGCCTAGTGAGGCCCGCGTCTTCCTAGCATTGGCAGGCTGGATTTTGACCCATTTTTGGGCGCGCCTTTCAGCCCAAATCATGTGCGAGGCCCAAAATTCATGACAACATTTTGGTCTGTGTTTAGGCAGACGACCCAATTCGGCTTTTTAACCATTTTTGTTTTCTGGAAGCCCGTTTTTCATTTCAAAATCATTTTTAAAAAATTGTTTTCAAAGAAGAAAAATTTGGGGAAAGTTATTTTAAGTCCCCAGACTCCAATTTTAGTTCTCCGAGTCCTATTTTTCAAAAATGAGAGAGTTCCAACGTCCACAAAAAATCCGATTAAAACTCTCAAGTCTTAATTTTTATTAAGTGTGGGTTTTATATTAAATTCGAATAGTGAGATAGGTTATTGATGTATTATCTCGCTTAAATGTAGGTGTTTGAGGAGTCGAGCCATCGACCTACGTACTTGCTTTGGTGTGCGTCATTCTACCTCGGTTTCCAGGTGTGTTTATTTATGAAATTGATATGCTATGATTAATTGACGTTATAATGTATGGTATGATCAATGTATGCATGTGAACCATGTATCCTTCGATGTGAGCTTTATCGGCCGTCGAACGGTTATCTATGTAGCTATAGAATAGACTCCGTGGGGTAATCTCCTCTTTTCGTCCTTGCGAAGGACGCATCGCCTGTAAGACCAGGGCATGGGCCCTCGGCCAGCAATCAGTACCTCGATGTAAGCCCAAGACAGAAACCTTGGCCGTGGGGGCAGACTTCTACTGTTTGGGCATCGATGTAAGGCCTGAGTGAAGGCATTCAAATCGTGGATCAACATTAGTCTATTGATATAGGTGTGCACATGAGAACGAACTTGGGATAAGAGATGGGATAGTTGATTGATTCGTATACATGCTGCGACCATACCTGTCTTATATTATTTGTTATTTATGTACATAGGGGTGAGCACCACAGATTCCATATTGCGCTCACCCCCACCTGTTTCATCACGCGCGCAGGTTAAGCAGGTTGCAGGCACGGCGAGGCGAGTGGTGGTCGGTCTAGATGACTAGACCATTGATTGTATTTCTTCCGCTATTTGAGTTTATTTATGATTTGTGAATTGGGATATTTTTTAACTTCGGATAAATATGTTTTGAAACACTGTTTGGGGAGATGCCCCGTTGACACTATGATGTCTTTATTTTGAAAATTTGGAAACCCGATTTGGGTAGTTATGACTTGGGATGAAACCTTTGATAAGGTGTTGGAATATGTTTTGATGTCATTGCTATGACTAAGTATTTTGATATATGTGATAATGTTCTGGAAATAAATGAGTAACACCACAAATGTTTGAAATGAGTTTGAAAAATTAAATTGATTTTTCTAAAAAGCCATGGATTTTAGTTAAATGAAAGTAAGGTGTTACAGAAACGCTGCATGCACACGGATAAGTTGTTGCCGTTGAAACTCAAGCATATTGGTAAATTGTTGCAAACGGGATAAATGAGACGACTGAACAACAACGTCATATCCATCCATGATGTCATTTAATTATTGACCGACATCATTTTCAACATCATCGTAATCCTCATCTTCATCAATGTGCGACATCCTACAAATGGAGAATTTGTGGGAACTAGTTTAAACAAATTTACCATTTTTTAAGAATAGCAGGTCAACTTTCTGGTCAATTTCGGACATCATTGATATTTACTTATTTAGGTAAGTTTTTTTTAATCTCCTTTTAATTGCTCCATTAAATGTTTTCAAATAACCCGAGCAAGGACGTCCTGGCGGCGCCGGTGGAGGGCGTCTGTCGCCGCCTGCGCGGAAAGTTCCCAGATCTGCAACCCAGAGGAACGAACGGCGTTGGAAGGCATTCGAAGAGCCGGCGACGGAGGAGGCTAGAGGTGGGGAGGATTAATTCTCTCTCCGCGGCTAGATCCGTTTCAGTCGGGTCGAGGAGGAGGCGATCGGAGCTCGAATTCAGGTTGAAATCGGCCGTGGAAGGGACAGTCGACAGAGGATCTGGGCACGGGACGGCGTCGCGCGTGGGGCGACGGAAGGAGATGGAGGACGCCGTGGCGGCGAAGCCGGGGTTCCTGCAAGTGCGCGGGCGGAGCTACGATTTCTACGGGGTGTACGACAGGCACAGCGGGAGGCGCGCTGCAGATGTCTGCGCCAGGAGGATGCACGGGACAGTGGCGATGGCGGGGGAACTGTGTTGTGGCTGTGATTGTTCTGCTTTTTTTTTGGTGTTATTATTGGTTTAACAACTCAACAAAACGAGGTCAATTCTGAAATCGGAATTTATTTTCGGGGAGTAATATTATTAAGTGAATCTATATCTACCGTTCATTTAGAAATTTTATCTGAGTTTATATTTTTGTTTTACAAATTATCTTTTTTTTTTTTCCTGCTATTCATATTACAGTAATATCTAATTATATGAATTATATTTAATCATCTTTTAAAAAATTGTATAAATGTCTATCTGCAGATCTATATATATAAAAGTTTTATATTTACCTGAAATAGAAGTAGAATTTCCGCTTAAAATTTTTAAAATTTTTAACTTTGTTAATTTTTTTGAAAAAATTCAAAAATATCCCGCCAATAGAACTTTAATTTGAATTTCAAAAATATTTTGCTTTTATCTATTAATTTCAAAATAAATAAAGATATTTCCTCAATATATATCATTCCATAATCATTGCAATTAATATCACTTAAAATAAGATATTGAAATTAGATCATATTTTATTTAGGAATTAGATCAAATATAATCTTAATATTTTATAGCATGAAGTATTTGCGACTTTTACACTATGAATATATTATTTTAAAATATTTCACATTTATTTAATGCATGTATTGAAAATATAATATCGGAAGACACATTTATTTTAAGTATTTTATAATGCACGTAGTGGAATATATTATCTTATGTGGCGCAGTTTTTGCAAAAAACTATATCTTGGCTTATAGACAAATCTTGCTACAGTTTTAGTTACACAATCATTTAATAAAAGAATTCATACTAAAGTAAATTTAAATCATGTTGATTTATTCAAAGCAAGTTTTAATTTTTTTTTTTATTTAGTAAAATGGAAAAGCATTAAATGCTTCCTTTAGTTTGTGGGATTAGTTATGACTTATTGTAAAAGATTCAATTTTTATAGCTACTGTGTGATTTCATGCCGCCCGGTTGCATTTTGCCAGATTTCATCGTCTCTCACATGGGTAATTAAGAATTTGTAGTTATGTTTTATGGTAAAAGATTCAATTATGTTAGCTAATGTGAATTATACTTATTATTCATATAAATATAAATTTTTGAATATATGATAAAATTTTACCAATATAATTATTTTAAGGAATCACATTTTAGTTAAATCGAATTTCTGAATAAAAATTTAAAATGACACTTATTTTGAAATGAATATAATGTATTTTATTATCAATTACATGCACCGTAGGAGTTGTGTATTAATTTTATCTTTTTTTCTTCTTAAGGAGGATCAATAGTGTTCAGTTCCCTACTCGGTTACGTGTTTTAAGTTCAAAGTAGGTTTCGTTAGCAACCCCTGCTGCGAGCAACCCTTGCTCCATACTGTCATAAGTGAAACGTCTTACCACTCAAACTGCGCTTCGTTGTCGGGTTGTGTACTAATTTTAAATAAACATGTTCTATGTGATTTTTGCACGATTTAAAATTCAGATAGCATTGAAATTTTTAAAATATAAATACTGATAAATTTCTCTTACCCGTGTATCGTACGGGATTCGTACTAGTTTTTTGTAAATGAAAGAAAAAAACAACATCAATGACCAAACTGAAATAACACCTAAGTCACATAATATCATGTAGAAACACAATTAAAGTCAACACAAATGCATAATAATAATAAAAAAA